GACACACAACAACTCCACCAACTCACCACTAGGAGAGGCCATACACACATCACAGTCGAACATAACAGATACACAACAACTCCACCAACTCACCACTAGGAGAGGCTACAGACACATCACAGTCGAACATAACAGACACACAACAACTCTACCAAGTCACCACTAGGAGAGGCTACACACACATCACAGTCGAACATAACAGACACACAACAACTCTAACAACTCACCACTAGGAGAGGCCATACACACATCACAGTCGAACATAACAGATACACAACAACTCCACCAACTGACCACTAGGAGAGGCTACAGACACATCACAGTCGAACATAAGAGACACAGAACAACTCTACCAACTCACCACTAGGAGAGGCTACAGACACATCACAGTCGAACATAACAGACACAGAACAACTCTACCAACTCACCACTAGGAGAGGCTACAGACACATCACAGTCGAACATAACAGACACAGAACTACTCCACCAACTCACCACTAGGAGAGGCCATACACACATCACAGTCGAACATAACAGACACACAACAACTCCACCAACTCACCACTAGGAGGCGCTGCAGATACATCACAGTCGAACATAACAGACACAGAACAACTCTACCAAGTCACCACTAGGAGAGGCTACAAACACATCACAGTCGAACATAACAGACACAGAACTACTCCACCAACTCACCACTAGGAGGGCCATACACACATCACAGTCGAACATAACAGACACACAACAACTCCACCAACTCACCACTAGGAGAGGCTGCAGATACATCACAGTCGAACATAACAGACACAGAACAACTCTACCAACTCACCACTAGGAGAGGCTACAGACACATCACAGTCGAACATAACAGACACACAACAACTCCACCAACTCAGAACTAGGAGTGGCCACACACACATCATAGTCGAACAGGACAGTCTAACATAACAGACACACAACAACTCCACCAACTCACAACTAGGAGAGGCTACAGACACATCACAGTCGAACATAACAGACACACAACAACTCCACCAACTCACCACTAGGAGAGGCCATACACACATCACAGTCGAACATAACAGACATACACCAACTCCACCAACTCACCACTAGGAGAGGCTACAGACACATCACAGTCGAACATAACAGACACACAACAACTCCACCAACTCACCGCTAGGAGAGGCCATACACACATCACAGTCGAACATAACAGACACACACCAACTCTACCAAGTCACCACTAGGAGAGGCTACACACACATCACAGTCGAACATAACAGACACACAACAACTCTAACAACTCACCACTAGGAGAGGCCATACACACATCACAGTCGAACATAACAGATACACAACAACTCCACCAACTCACCACTAGGAGAGGCTACAGACACATCACAGTCGAACATAAGAGACACAGAACAACTCTACCAACTCACCACTAGGAGAGGCTACAGACACATCACAGTCGAACATAACAGACACAGAACAACTCTACCAACTCACCACTAGGAGAGGCTACAGACACATCACAGTCGAACATAACAGACACAGAACTACTCCACCAACTCACCACTAGGAGAGGCCATACACACATCACAGTCGAACATAACAGACACACAACAACTCCACCAACTCACCACTAGGAGGCGCTGCAGATACATCACAGTCGAACATAACAGACACAGAACAACTCTACCAAGTCACCACTAGGAGAGGCTACAAACACATCACAGTCGAACATAACAGACACAGAACTACTCCACCAACTCACCACTAGGAGAGGCCATACACACATCACAGTCGAACATAACAGACACACAACAACTCCACCAACTCACCACTAGGAGAGGCTGCAGATACATCACAGTCGAACATAACAGACACAGAACAACTCTACCAACTCACCACTAGGAGAGGCTACAGACACATCACAGTCGAACATAACAGACACACAACAACTCCACCAACTCAGAACTAGGAGTGGCCACACACACATCATAGTCGAACAGGACAGTCTAACATAACAGACACACAACAACTCCACCAACTCACAACTAGGAGAGGCTACAGACACATCACAGTCGAACATAACAGACACACAACAACTCCACCAACTCACCACTAGGAGAGGCCATACACACATCACAGTCGAACATAACAGACATACACCAACTCCACCAACTCACCACTAGGAGAGGCTACAGACACATCACAGTCGAACATAACAGACACACAACAACTCCACCAACTCACCGCTAGGAGAGGCCATACACACATCACAGTCGAACATAACAGACACACACCAACTCCACCAACTCACCACTAGGAGAGGTTGCAGACACATCACAGTCGAACATAACAGACACACAACAACTCCACCAACTCACCACTAGGAGAGGCTACAGACACATCACAGTCGAACATAACAGACATACAACAACTCCACCAACTCACCACTAGGAGAGGCCATACACACATCACAGTCGAACATAACAGACATACAACAACTCCACCAACTCACCACTAGGAGAGGTTGCAGACACATCACAGTCGAACATAACAGACACACAACAACTCCACCAACTCACCACTAGGAGAGTCCACACACACATCACAGTCGAACATAACAGACACACAACAACTCCACCAACTCACCACTAGGAGAGGCCATACACACATCACAGTCGAACATAACAGTCGAATGTAACATACACACAACAACTCCACCAACTCACCACTAGGAGCGGCCACACACACGTCACAGTCGAGCATAACAGACACACAACAACTCCACCAACTCACCACTAGGAGAGGCCACAGACACATCACAGTCGAACATAGCATACACTACGATCAGATAGAGAAGACCGGACACAATGAAACCACAGTCAGAGAGAACAGTCCCACCACAGTCAGAGAACACAGACAGACCACAGCGAATCACCGGAGTCTCCAACAGAGAACACAAATAATAAACCGAACAACTACTGATATTGATGATAGGATTTGCAGTATCATATAAAGTAACATTTATATTTAAATATACACAAATAACTGAGTAAAGCACCCCTTGATATATCTCACGATTGAAATATCCGATCTTAACCCTTTGGAGCATATCTGGGACGTGACTGGTCGTCGTGTGCAACAAAACCTCGCACAATTGGAAGCTGCTTTACACGAGGAGGCTGACAGGGGGTATGAGGAGGAGCGTGCTGGCTGTCATACAGTCACATGGAGGTTACACTCGGTATTGACCTTGAATCGTGTAAGACTCGAAAAATGACATTTTTAACGTTCACATTCACCAATAAATTCAACATTAAACACTCAAGGGACATACTTGTACAGGCATGGTTTCGTATGAAAATCAATGGGTCTTTTTTTGAAAATGAGCAATAAAATCAACATGGATTCCAATCATGCCAGTCAATGGATCATACGGGTCAGAAAAACGTGGTTACTACGTGTATGTACGTATTGAAAACCTATCATTGCAACAATACAGAGGGTGCATTATTAAGTTCTTTGTATCTAGTTGACAGTTTTGATACCACAAATCTTACTAATGCCACTGCTACTGCTACTGATAATACAACTGCTGCTACTTCTACTACTTCCCCATGAAGATCCGGGTTAGAACTGGCCCCGATTTCTCGAAACAATCTTAAGTTTTTACTCAAATCTCAAACTGAGTTTGACAATTTGAAACAGTTGAAGTTTTAACTCAACTGCATTTTTAAAATAAAAAAGCCCAAACAACTTAAGTAATCTATCCACCAAACTCAAATTGCCAACTATGTTTGAGTTTAATATCAATTTCAGTTCATTATGGGAAATGCATTTTCTCAAATTTGAGTAAAAACTCTAACTTAAGTTTGTTTCGAGAAATCGGGGCCAGTTCTTCAGAAACCAATGTGTGTCTTTAGAAGCGATTAGCGGATTCGGGTGTTCAGGCTCGCTGACTTGGTTGACACATGTCATCGTATCCCAATTGGGTAGATCGATGCTCATGCTGGTGATCACTGGATTGTCTGGTCCAAATTCCATTTATTACAGACCGCTGGTCTGTATAGCTGGACTATAGCTGAATGGGGCGCTAAACAAACAAATAAACAAACAAACAAACAAACAAATTAACAGACAGATAGACAATATTACTACTACTACTACTACTACTACTACTACTACTACTACTACTACTACTACTACTACTGCTGCTGCTGGTGCTGCAGCTACGACTACTTCTATCGCAGTTGACAGCTCTTTATTGTCGCTTCTATGTCATTTTAATCCCGTTCTTTAGCGATATTTCCGTCACCACATACGTTTCGGTGAATCATATATCTTCCTTTTTAACACTTGTGTTTTCGCAACTGTCAACGCAATAAAAATGACACTGTGATGTCACAGAATGTTCTCATCTATCTTCAAGCCCGTTTTTCTCTCATAATGTTTTCCATGGGAAAGGCCGCTGCCAGAAGTGTCATAAATTCTTGGTTATTATTAAATTAACATGTATTTTATAAGTTATAGCCATTTAAACATGATTTAACATATTTGGCTGAATTTACTTTCGATGGACATTATTGTATGAGCGTAGGCGTCATAACATGAGTAAATGGAGATAAACGAAATAACCACAGTTTGTAAATCTCGTTCCTTGTCCGTATTTCGTCATGTCCACGTGAGGTTAAAAGTGGTTTATGTGACTGAAACAGAAATGCACAACATTCATCGAAAAACTGTTTTAGTGTCCATAAAAACGTGACTGAGTGAACATATTCAAACGCGTTTCATTGTAACACTCCGAATACAGATGTAACACACACCATTTTGCACGCCAGGCTGAAGATGCATGTTTTTAACATGACAAGCTGAAAACCTATACGAATTTGGCCACACCGTAATGATTCCATTGGAGTAAGTTCGTTACGGCTTGTGGTTCCGTGGTATGACTTCCTGGTTAGGCAGAACATGACATAGCAACCATACTGAGAGAGTAACACTTAGTTCAGCCTGATACCAGACGGACTATTCACTGGAGACATAGCGGTTGGATTCGCTTCACATGATGACCTCATTTTCTCAGTGAATAACATGATCCAGGCTTCTGAACCTCATTGTACTCCTGGTTACCTGAATCCCATGCAAAACCCGAATGACGCGATATCTATGCAGATGTAGGCGAGGACTTGACACCGTCACATCAATACTTGGATTGTGAGGGATTGTGACAGATTGTGGCCGTCTACTTTCATGTACATATATGCAGTGAATGCAATCACAGTTCTTTGAACAAGGCACGGATTTCGTTGAAGGTCTTATTATAATGTGCATATCATTAGTGGAGTAACAATTCGATGTGATTGTTTTGCGGTTGTATTCTTTTCACTAACTATGGAATTAAGTTTTTTATTCCGTGCGATACTTACAGCTGTGTGCATGGGAGGACTGAAATGCGTGGAACTCAAGGACAACGGATATGAACTTGTAGTGGCAATACACAGGGATATCCCAGAGAATCTCGCCATTATCTCGCAGCTGCAGGTGAGTTGTGAGCCAAGGTCCCTGTTCAGCGTTCAAAATGTGTTATGGTAGACATATGAAGCCCATTTCCAAATATGACGCATCAGTTACTATGAAGAACGATGAAAGTCCCTCTTTTTGTATGTACCAAGCGTTCCTGTGTATCTTTCAAATAATTAATTGACATACGTTTGCATATGTGTGACGGGTGCCACAGACGGGGCTGGATACCCACACTTTTCCGTAATTTATAGTATCATCGTTACTTGACAGTCCCTAAAAACATACTCATAGTATGGTAGGAATCGTGCAGTGGACTCTCTTTATAAATATTGACAGGGTTTTGTCCCTAACCCATTGTACAGTACAACTCGCATTGGTGCTGAAGCCAGCGTTTCCCAAATCAAGTTCCATACTTTCAGGCTATAGTTTCCACATTGAACTCAATGTTTCGTAATCTCGTCAAAAGTTTGATATCATTTTCTCATTATTGTATTATTTGTTTAATGAATATTTTGAATTGGTGCTGTGTGTTGTGTGGAGCATGTTCATAATTGTTTGTTTTATGCTCATATATATGTTTTCCTTCACGACCTTTTCAAATATTTCTCAAAATGAAATGCATATTATGTTTTAATCTTATTTCAGAGCATGTTTACCTCTGCCTCGGAGTACCTGTACACCACAACCCGGAAGTACACTTACATAAGAAATGTGACCATCTTAGTACCAGACACGTGGACCAAAGATCCAAGCTGGACAGACGAAGGGGAGATAACCTTTACTGATGCGGATGTTAGAGTCGACTCGCCACATCCTACATGGGTAGGTCAACCTTATGAATTATGTAGCAAGTTATAATCGAACTGTTCAGGTCTTTTGTCCAGGACAGCTAACATTTGCTGAGAAAGCACCACTCATGTGAGAGGAGAACCACCAGTCTGACGCTGCTATAATGATATTAACCCGTTTGTTCAGCTGATCAACCATCCATCTATAGACTGAGAGAGCACCAGCCAATATGATGTACCAACCATAATATCAAACTCTTTGCCCACTGGCCAACCATCGATCATTCGATTGAAAGGGGCGTCCACCAGTCTGATCTGCTATGTAAATATTGAACCGTTTGCTCAACTGGCCAACCATCAGTAGAAAGTTTAAGAGAACATGAATTAATCTGATGCTGGCATGTTGATATCAAACGTTTGCTCAACTGGCCAACGATCCATCTAATGATGGATTTATCGACTGAGTGAGACCAGAATATGCGTTAATATCATACCTTTAATTTATCTGACAAATCCTCCATGTATAGATGTAATAGATATACCCACACCTTCCAAGATGTATCGTCCTATGCGCCAGTGAAAGTGCAGATATATTTGTATGACAGATGTCTTAATGTCGAGCTGACGTTGAAAAAAACAAACAGTTTGTATCCATATCAGGCATTTTGGGTTAGGGTTCTTTCTGTGTAATTCATTTGCACCCACACGTTAAGACTTTCTCAAACGAACCCGTTCTTGGTTAGAATTGGCCTTTAGCAACCCATGCTTGTCGTAAGAGGCGACTAACGGGATCGGGTGGTCAGGCTCATGACTTGGTTGACACGTCATCGTATCCCAACTGCGTAAATCGATGATAATGTTGTTGATCACTGGATGGTCTGGTCCAGGCTAGATTATCTACAGACCGCCATTATAAAGCTGGAACATTGCTGATTGCGGCGTTACACAACAAACAGAAACAATCTAACGGATCGGGTGGTCAGACTCGCTGCATGTTATCGCATCACAACTGCATAATGAATGCAAGTCTTGTCAGGCACCGTCGTGCAGCGTTAAACAACAAACCAAGCAGCCACAACACGTGACAATGGATCCCCTCGATACAAAGACGTGGACTTGTTACAAGGATCCCTGAACAACAGTATATTGGCAGAGCACATGCGGTTATAACAGAAATGCATTTCAAAATGTACCCACTATATGTCCTGGATTTTTTGCTTTTCATAAAGCTCCCCCATATCAGTTCATATTGAGTAACGTGACGTCAAATGGAGATACCCGTGGCGTTTTCTCCCACTAACGTTCTCAAATGATGAGATTTAAATATAGATTTCGAATCCATGACAACTAACAGGCTTGTATGCATGTTACGTGGTGCAGACATATAACATGGGAACGCGACATTGTAATAGATAGAATGCCCTCACGCTGTGTTGCTAGTCACGGTCTGGTGGTCCAGTTTATCTTGTTTTGAACTGGTATAAGAAATAGAGCATTGATAACTTCACGATAACATTATTTGGATGAAAAGACCTACACTCCTTTGCATATGTGCAGGATCCATTTCATATTTGATATTAATGCTTGTCATCGCATAGACAAAGTTATACAACGGAGATTATGAATAGTTTTTGTTACACCTTCATTGACCCATGCTTGTCGTAAGAGGTGACAGACGGGATCGGGTGGTCAGGCTCGCTGGCTTGGTCATCGGTTCCCAATTGTGCAGATCGATGTTCATGCTGTTGATCACTGGATTGTTTGGCCCATACTCGATTATTTACAGACCACCGCCATATAGCTGGACTATTGCTGAGTGCGGCGTAAAACTAAACTCACTCACTCACTACATCTTCAGTGACATTTCATGGTATATCTTCCGGATATCATTCCAAACAGGCAAACATTCCTTTGCGTATTTTTGGCTCGATTTAATCATGCATAGTTTTTGCTGTTACTTAGCAAGTTTTCATTGTATTTTTTCAGTATAATTATCCAAAGAGGCTTTGAAATTTGATTGAGTTTATATGAAATATTGCAATGAAATACATCATGCATCAATTTAGTCATAAAAAGGAGATCGAACATCCAGCCTTGACAAACCAGTAGAATGACAATAACGCATAATAATGATATTTGAATGCTTTAACTATTGTCGTTTCTAGTCATGGAAATTTTTACAACCGATACTCATAACTATATTGGATCAAATAGTTATTATGTTCCAAATTATGTAGATTGAAGTGTTAGTTTCGTTAAAAGCCAGTGCGCGTGTCGCAGCGTTTACCACCCGCAAACACGTACATGATGCTTACAAACCTGTGTATATACATCACAGTGGGATTCGAACACGCCACTTCCGGATCCTGGCATAGATCAATATGTGCAACTGTTAAGACTAGGGCCACACGGCCAGCTTTGCCCCGTGCAGATTGGGGGAATGTATATGATCTCGCCGTCAAGTTGAACCAAGTTATGAAGGTTTAATTACAGAAGGACATGGGTTACCGTAAAGACTACCATTATGGCATGTAAATGCAGAGCAAGACTATGGATCATCTGAGAAGACATTTCTCAGCAATTTTGCCTAACAATTATTTGTTACCGAGTATTCTGCACACACTGAATTATTTTGCGAAGTTCACACGGACTTTTAAAAATGTTTGTCACATTCCACTGAAAATGCATTATAGGCCGCTCAGTTGTTTGTGGTTTAGATATAACGTTACCTCGTCATCAGCAGGGTGCTCGCTGAAGCAAACATGTGCACAATACCACTCTTACGTTAATGATAGACTAGCTCCATTATACATGTTGTGTTTGCCACTGAAGTAACCCTGTGACGAGGCGTAGGCTGAATACTTGACGCTGGGCTATGAGCTGTATTGTTAGTTCTTAGTAGATGTCAAGTTTCCGCTTGTCCTTTCATTTGTAAGTGCTAAAATGTAATTTCCATAATTTATACTCTCAAAATAAGGAGGGAATATGAGAAAAATACAACAGACGACGAATGACGATAGCTGACTTGATGTTGATTAACTGAGCAATATCCCAGCTATATGGCGGCGGTCTGTAAATAATCGAGCCGGACCAGACAACCCAGTGATCAACATCATGAGCATCGATATACGCTATTGGGATATGATGACATGTGTCAACCAAGTCATCGAGCCTGACAATCCGATCCCTTTAGTCGCCACTTACGACGAGCATGGGCTGCTGAATACAATTTCTAACCCGACTCTTCACGGGTTGGACAGTATATGAGACGAGTCGCGATTAAATCTTTCTCTACCCTCTAAACAGGTCTGGCGTCTGTGTAGAATGTGTCGGTTTGTTAATGGTGGTATAACTGACAGTAATCTGAACTCCAGATGCCTTGCGCAAGTGAACAGCGATGGGATTGGCTTTTGGGCTCGATTTCTAAACGTTGTTTCTGACAGACATGGTTGGACGGGTTGTTGACCCAGGGCGCCGTTGGGGCCAATTGCTTATATTTTGTGTTTGCAGAAACCTATTCCAGGGTCTGCAAGTCACAGACCGAGGGCATATTAACTACATCTCGCTGAGTTATACCAATTTGACGCATATCCACGGGGTATATTCGTTCATCGGGTTGTGGACGACGCAAACTGCATTAGGCCAAGCGCAAAGAGCTTACTTGTTACAGCGAAAGGCAAAGGTACTAACTACCTTTTACCGCGTGTGGCTCCGAACACATAGCAACTCCATGGTACACGGGGGCAATACTTCGGGTGTGTTTGGGGTGTTAGAATTTGGCTTCTCCCGACAGTTATTTTCAAAGCTGATCTTTCTTCTGACGATCGATCGTAACATTTATATGTCATGATGTAGTCCGTGGTCCTGTGAATAGAACTCAAAATTGCGCCTGTTCATCCAGCAGAAAATGGGTACCCAGTGGGATAATAACCTCCTAGTGTGACTATAATCTTCAGGCGCCTAACAGGCAGTTTGGGTTATCCGGGATAATAACGTGTTAGCGCCAAGAGCATGCTTACGCGTTTGGACATGTGCGCATGATAAATATGCACACTATATAAATATTGTGAATTACTGTTCTTCAAGTGGAGAGTGCATACTGAGCAATATGGAAATGCATTAGAAGTGTGCAAAGTACCAATATCTAGTCCACCTTTGGATTAAATAGAGGACATAGACCTTGTATATATGTTTCACCATATATTTCAGGACAATACTCCCTACACGTTCCAACCAGGGCAGTGCGGGGAGCCTGGACGTTACATCCTTCTGACGCCCGACTATGTTCTGGACAATGGAATCAATCGTGTCCTTCACTATGGCGATGCAGGTAGATACAAGTTAGACATATGGAACCAACGCCGTCCTAATTAACGATTCCAAAGTTATCTACAGATATACTGAACACAAAATATAAAATTTAATATAAATATTTTCCCTCCTTAGATAATTATAAGATAATAATTTATTGAAATATTCTGTGTTTGTTATACGAGAAAATGTTTAGTATACGACGTCTACCTTTGACATGCAACAAACATTCTGAATATAGGGAAACAAACAATAGTTATGCATTCCCAAAGAAAAATATTCGTCTTCACCATTGATCCATGGGATATATAATTACTGTCACACACATCACATTGTTTCAAACTCAGAAACCACTATTTCACGGGAAACTATTGGATACAAGTAACAGCCCTGAAATAGATCCAAAACAAATTAAGTTAACTTTTGAAGGAAACGCGGCAAAATACAAAAAGAACAATCATACGCATCGGGAATTGTTCTATTCTAACTGTATCGTGAGCATGTCGTGTTTATGACTTTTGGTTAAATAATGATGATAACGCGTGTATCCTGATTTAGGATTTAATGTATATATATATATTAGGGTATTTATATAGCGCACATATCCACGCAACTATTGCATGCACAAGGCACTGGTAATTTTTCCCTCGTTCATTGGATGTCAATCTCAACGGCACATCGTATTATCAATCTCAACTCCCTGGGAGTATACAACTATTTAATATATAATCCTAACAATATCTATTAATCAGGGTTTTGGGGTTATAGGGTTTGAAAAGATTAATGTGGATCTCGGTCCAGTTCAAGATAATGTCAAATTCTCTATTTCAAGGTCGTGCTCTGGTCCATGAGTTTGCTCATCTACGGTTTGGAGTCTTTGACGAGTACGGCGTTCCCGGTAGCGACGTCCATCCAGTTGGGTATATCGACGATACGTCAACAATCCTTCGCCCCACCGCTTGTTCCAACGACATCAAAGGTGACTTTGTCAATTTCGAAAAGGACGCCAGCTGTTCATCGGTCAGCACCGCCAAGCTACTGGATGAAGGTTGTGTATTCCTTCCAAACTCTTACATGAACAAAGCCACGTCATCCGTGATGTATGCACAATTTCTAAAGGAGGTAGGTGAATACTGTACACTTCTTGGTATGGATAAGATATCACATGTTCTTGCTACGAGTGAGCACACATGACTTTACTAGTGCATTTTTCTCATTATGACGTGAAAGAAACGTCATCCATTGTTTGTGAAGTACTGATGATTCTCTATGGCGTCGTTCCAGTCATACAGTAACTAAGCAAACATGAAACATACAACGTTATGGATGACAATTTATTGCAAAGAGCGACGTTTCGATGTAGATTCTTACATCGTTATAAAGCTAAAAGTCTTAGCTAACGATGTAAGAATCTACATCGAAACGTTGCTCTATGCAATAAATAAGAAGCTGTCATCCATAAAGTTGTATGTTTCATTTTGGAGTCACCAACTTGTAGAATGCCCATCAAACAACAAGTAACTAAGCAGATGGTTGACACTGAGATTAAGAAACCTATCTATTTCTCGCAGAATATTACTGTGATATAACCATGTAGAATAACGTCATCGCTACTCGGAGCTGAATTTTAATTGTCTTTCTCAAATTAAAGTTAAACTGTATAGTTACAATAGTAACTCACCCAGGAGTTAAAATGCCATTTAGTCATTGCTATGCTGGGAAGACCTACATGCCACTATTCGTTGTTTCAAAAAGAGAAACATCAAGCTAGAAATATGGTAATGCCTGCATTGTTGTATGCCCCCTTAACAATTGCTGATTGCTGCGTTAAATAATAAACGTTGTACGTGGTGGAGTGAGGCTTTGGTGGGTTTGACTTCAGGTACATCAGGGCGAGCGAGCTTCTTACGCTTGCTGGTGGCATTCGTAACTACTCGTGTCATTCCGGCATGTCTTCTTGTAGTCACGGAAAGAGGCGAGTAGGAACGAATGTTGCTGGTGGCTGTCATCGTGCTCCGATTCAGCTGTTGCTTGTTGTCACTCTCTGATTTACTGCAAATAGAGTAAATCTTTTACAGTAGATGTAGCTGCTTGTTAGATTATTGCTTTACATAAACATGATTTCCTTTGCCGTAACTGACATTTCCTCGTATTTGAACAAGGTTAGTTGTCGAAAAGGGGAAGATCGAAATGAATGCGTTTCTGATAATCGACCGAAACTAGTCGCACCCTAACACAAGGTAGTTTACTCTGTATTGTATTGTGGGGTCACTCGGTCTTGAATGATCCCAAGTATGCGTTAATTTGCAATTTAACAAAACACAGCATGTTTGTTTTTCCAGGTGGTCAATTTCTGTGAAAGCAACCCTGAAAGTGGTCGTATGGATTTGAAGCATAACCCAAATGCACCAAACAGGCATAACAAAATGTGCAATGGAAGAGGGACATGGGATATCATCCGGGAACATGCAGACATAAAGGGACGTAACCCTCTTGACGTTACCAACCGAAACCCACTGTTTAATATTGTATACCGTCAAAAAGAAGCAGTTGGCAACACCACGGTTTGCGGGCGAAGATTTGTATTCGTCTTAGATCTCTCGGGCTCAATGGCATCGGTAAATTACGTACAATCTGTTAGAAAGTTCCCATTGCTATTTTGAGGTTTGTGTTCAATATTAATTAATGTAGTGAAAATATTGATGGATAAGACATTCGCCCTCCTCTTCAGAATAACAGATACTTCAGACTCCGTCAAATGGCTGACAAGATTATCCGAGACGTCCTTCCTGAGGGAACTGAGACAGGAATCGTTGTCTTTTCATCCTCCGGAAGAGTGTGGTCTCCCATGGGATTCCTCACATCTCCCTCAGACAAAGATGCGCTTGCTCAGGGGCTGCCGCAACTTAGAGACTTCGGGGGCGGCACAGCCATCGGAAGTGGTCTTCTCGAGGCTGTAAAAGTAAGATCTTATGTGACAACCAGAGCCCCGTTCCACATAGCGATATTGGGGCTACGGTGATCGTAAGCTTTGTTGAAGAATGGAACTTAAGGACACCACAAGTTCGCTTTGTGACCCCGGTCCTAGTGTTTGGTGCAACGCGATCTAGCAGGACCGTAATCTATACGCTAAACAGCATAACTACACAACTATATGTCTGTATGTGTATTCTTATAACCAGTCGATTGACCATTTTCTGTGCGATTATAAATTTTTGAACTTTATATAAAACTTAAATTCACTATTGTGGACGGAGAATACAAGTTTTACGATTTATTTTATGGATTCATAACAAGGTCATTGAGGGATGTCAAAGTGAAAATATCATCCCGCTTACTTGACCTCATTTGTCTAGCATGCACCGTTGACATGTATCTGATGGCCATATTTCAGTTATTGGAGTCCAACGGTAAATCAGCAGCAAATGGGCGGATATTTCTCATCACTGATGGGGAACAAACCGTCGCACCTTCTGTACAAGATATATGGACAGACATCACATCAAAGAATGTGGTTGTCCACACTCTCGCCTACAGTGACGCTGCTGCAGCGGTACTGCGATCCCTGTCTCAAGTCACTGGCAAGTAGTCCACAGACACTGACTTGACATGATGCTCGTGGTAATAGTGACAATGTATTTCAGTTATATGATGGACACTATTTTCTACGTTGCATATTTATATAACGTGGCCAATGACCCTTAAGTAGAGTAATAATTTCATAGCGTGGCCAGTGATGTTTACGTAGTGTCATATTTACATAACGTGGCCAGTGATGTTTATAAAGTGTCATATTTACATAACGTGGCCACTGATGTTTAAGTAGTGTCGTATTTACATAACGTGGCCAATGATGTTTAAGTAGTGTCGTATTTACATAACATGGCCAATGATGTTTGATAGTGTCGTATTTACATAACGTGGCCAATGATTTTTAAGTAGTGTCGTATTTACATAACATGGCCAATGATGTTTAAGTAGTTTCGTATTTACATAACGTGGCCAATGATGTTTAAGTAGTGTCGTATTTAAATAACGTGGCCAATGCTGTTTATGATGTTTTCGTATGTACATATTGTGGTCAATGGCCCTTAAGTGTTGTCGTATTTATATAAACATGTAGTGAGGTATTAGACTCATCGTGTATCCTAGCCCAGGAGTGAGTGAGCGAGTGAACATAATTGTACACAATATTCCAGCAAGGTGATGCTTACACTGATGCTATTTGTGCTAGGTGGCCAATATTCCTTCTTCGACGAGAGTACGAGTTCCACAGCCCTTGAAGGAGCAGCGGAAAGGCTGCTTGAGGATGTCAGTGTCTGCGAACAGGAAGTAGATGCAGCTGTTGAGGTAGATGTCACAAACTAATAACGTAGAGTACTGTAGCAAATGCTGGAAAAATTCTTTTCTGGCGTCGTTTTATAAATACGAATCGAATGGATATTCAAATTGCAAAATTCAACATAACGCAAATCGACCTAATCTAGCCTACCCAAACTGACCCTGGGATCATTCACGGGTACGTGTGTAAGAGTAATGATAACTTAGACAATTTTAACGTTCTCATGCATGTTTGCAACGGCCCCTAGCATCAGGTATTTATCTTACACCTGTCGTGACATAATGACGTCATACCCAAGACGATGCGTGTGTAATGCGCATCTTGCATCTTGGTAAAACAAGTGAAGATCATTTTCTAAGATGCACACCTGTCCACCACATTACTTGTTTTCTGGACACTGGAGGTTTCAGGAAAAGTACTTTGGTAACATAATCGCATGGCCATATTTCTATAGTCCGTTACAAACTTCCCTCGTTGAATATATATTAATGTTAACCTGAACTTACTGTTTCCGTTCGAAGTTCAAAGTAAAAGTGTATACTTTGTGTCTGACATAACTCAAACAGGAATGGCAGATCGATAATTACTCAATCTTTCAATATTCAGTGTGAATATTTTATCTTTTTTGACAGCCAAAGACAAAATTGTAGCATTTCCGATAGTACCTCTTTATATTGGGAATGGGAGAAACTTACATTATGCGTTTTAGATTTTTCATCATCTATTGAGGAAGTTTTACTATTTGAAGAATTATTATGTCTGAACCCAGACTTACATGCTCCACTCGTTATCTCGTATATATATTTTTAACAGATTGACCGCCATGCGATAAGTTTGAATTCGACGTTGTCAACGTACGAACGGAATATCTTGATTGACTCCACCATCGGGAACAACACACTGTTCGTCTTTACACTTTCGAGAGGTTCTGAAACAGAGGTAATCTCATATCACTTGCTTGTATAGAAACTGGTAATGTCATACCAGATGTTTGTGTACAACTGGTAATGTCATATCACGTGCTTGTGTACAACTGGTAATGTCATATAACTTGCTTGTGTACAACTGGTAATGTCATATCACTTGCTTGTGTACAACTGGTAATGTCAAATCGGTTGCTTGTGTAGAACTGGTAATGTCATATCACTTGCTTGTGTAGAACTGGTAATGTCATATCACTTGCTTGTGTACACCTGGTAATGTCATATCAGGTGCATGTGTAGAACTGGTAATGTCATATCAGGTGCATGTGTAGAACTGGTAATGTCATATCAAGTGCATGTGTAGAACTGGTAATGTCATATCAGGTGCATGTGTAGAACTGATAATGTCAGCTCAGGTGCTTATGTACAACTGGTAGTGTCATATCACTTGCTTGTGTAGAACTGGAAATGTCATATCACTTGCTTGTGTACAACAGGTAATGTCATATCACTTGCTTGTGTACAACTGGTTATGTCAAATCGGTTGCTTGTGTAGAACTGGTAATGTCATATCACTTGCTTGTGTAGAACTGGTAATGTCATATCACTTGCTTGTGTACAACTGATAATGTCAGATCAGGTGCTTGTGTACATCTGGTAATGTCATATCACTTGTTTGTGTACAACTGGTAATGTCATATCACTTGCTTGTGTAGTACTGGTAATGTCATATCACTTGCTTGTGTAGAACTGGTAATGTCATATCACTTGCTTGTCTTCAACTGGTAATGTCATATCACTTGCTTGTGTACAACTGGTAATGTCATATCATTTGCTTGTGTTCAACTGGTAATGTCATATCACTTGCTTGTGTAGAACTGGTAATGTCATATCACTTGCGTGTGTAGAACTGGTAATGTCATATCACTTGCTTGTGTTCCACTGGTAATGTCATATCACTTGCTTGTGTACAACTGGTAATGTCATATTACTTGCTTGTGTAGAACTGGTAATGTCATATCACTTGCTTGTGTACAACTGGTAATGTCATATCACTTGCTTGTGTACAACTGGTAATGTCATTACTTGCTTGTGTAGTACTGTTAATGTCAGATCAGTTGCTTGTGTACATCTGGTAATGTCATATCACTTGCGTGTGTAGAACTGGTAATGTCATATCACTTGCTTGTGTTCAACTGGTAATGTCATATCACTTGCTTGTGTACAACTGGTAATGTCATATTACTTGCTTGTGTAGAACTGGTAATGTCATATCACTTGCTTGTCTTCAACTGGTAATGTCATATCACTTGCTTGTGTAGTACTGGTAATGTCATATCACTTGCTTGTGTACAACTGGTAATGTCATATTACTTGCTTGTGTAGAACTGGTAAGCTTCGGTGATACTTGCATATTACTTGCTTGTGTAGAACTGGTAAGCTTCGGTGATACTCCACAATGAAATGTAAACGTTTGTTTGCCTCAATGTTACATCGAAGAATTGAAAACTGAATATATCTGCTGAAAATTCTCTATGTAGACGGATAAGAACATGTTTTATTCAACGTTAATGGAAAATCCGTTTTAGAAACGATTCAGAGCGATGACGTTTTGAAACGCCGCGGTTCGAACTATAAATGGGAGAGTGAGTCCCGGTTGTAAGAATCTTCTCAGAAAACCGAAAAACCACTATACACTATTGGAACCACCACCATGCTCTGATTCTCTGCTGCTGCACTCGACTGACACTGATGCTGAGGTCAGTGGATGGAGAGAGGTCCTCGTGAAACGTCGACCGCCAAACCCAGTGGTATTTGCGCAAACAAAGTGGCGCAAACCCCATAAAACCTGGATTATGATATCTCCTTATGATTTACCTTCATAACACTTCCGCCCCCACTCCCTATCTACTGCCAGCTACCTTGAAGATACATAGATAGCGTGATATTTGAATCACAACATGTCATACCTAACCCAGTTTCGTGTAACTAAACTGGCTGTACATGTGAATTCCTTGCATTTTACAACTGGCTTAATCAGCGACAGATCATCAGTTGTTTGTATTACTATATAGTTCACAGTCTCATAGTTCATTACACATCCTTTGGTATTTTGTTACAGGTCAGCATTAAAGATCCTTCAGGGAATGTCCAAAACATGGATTCACTAACATACAGTAAGGACGAATCTCTCAACATCATCCGGTTCCTCATTCCGCTGGCCCGGGTATGTACGCGTATTTGGCTGAAATCCACACGATGGGGCTAAATACTTTTGAATAGCAGTGTACTCGAGTTTACATAAGGATTAAGCCAATATGAGTGAGTGAGTGAGTGAGTTTAGTTTTACGCCACACTCAGCAAAATTCCATCTATATCGCGGCGGTCTGTAAATAATCGAGTCTGGACCAGACAATCCAGTGATCAACAGCATGAGCATCGATATACGCTATTGGGAACCGATGACATTTGTCAACCAAGTCAGCGAGCCTGACCACCCGATCCCGTTTGTCGCCTCTTACGAGAAGCATGGGTTACTGAAGATCAATTCTGACCTGGACCTTCACGTTTGTAAGGCAATAGTAACCTTTTGTGAAAATTCAGATAACTGATACGTTTATATAGCCAATACATTTAGGTTCAGTGTACCCCAGTTATAAAGTGTGGATCTGGAACTGATATTTACCCTAAGGTAAATGAGAGACAGCCACGTGTACTTACATGTGCTTATTTCTCTTTTAGACAGGGAGATGGACGTATAAACTGAAACGTGGTGCAAACTCAGTTGAGTCCGTTGTGGGTGTGGTCAAGTCTCACCCACGTGTCGGAGCCCTGCCCTATGAGGTGGAGACGTGGATTAGCTCAAAAGAGTTTAACTATTCAAGAGGCAGCGGAGTTGTTGTGTATACGTACGCCCACCAAGGGTATGCTCCAATCATCAGAGCCAAGGTTGACGTCACTGTGTCCAGAGCAGGAGAAGCTCCCTTCAATGTGATCCTGAGGGACAACGGACTGAGTAAGTGAAGGGAGCCTCTGCTACTTCAAACTAGTGAACCCGCCTTACTTCTGGCTGAGTAAGGCCAGTGAACCCCCGTTACTTCTGGCTGAGTAAGGCCAGCGAACCCGCGTTACTTCTGGCAGAGTAAGTGCAGGAAACCCGCGTTACTTCTGGCAGATTAATTGCATGAAACCCCCGTTACTTCTGGCTGAGTAAGACCAGTGAACCCCCGTTACTTCTGGCTGAGTAAGACCAGTGAAACCCCGTTACTTCTGGCTGAGTAAGGCCAGTGAACCCCCGTTACTTCTGGCTGAGTAAGACTATTGAACCCCCGTTACTTCTGGCTGAGTAAGGCCAGCGAACCCGCGTTACTTCTGGCAGAGTAAGTGCAGGAAACCCGCGTTACTTCTGGCAGATTAATTGAACTGCATGAAACTCCCGTTACTTCTGGCTGAGTAAGGCCAGTGAACCCCCGTTACTTCTGGCTGAGTAAGACCAGTGAAACCCCGTTACTTCTGGCTGAGTAAGGCCAGTGAACCCCCGTTACTTCTGGCTGAGTAAGACCAGTGAAACCCCGATTCTTCTGGCTGAGTAAGGCCAGCGAACCCGCGTTACTTCTGGCTGAGTAAGTGCAGGAAACCCCCGTTACTTGTGGCTGAGTAAGACCAGTGAACCCCCGTTACTTCTGGCTGAGTAAGACCAGTGAACCCCCGTTACTTCTGGCTGAGTAAGGCCAGCGAACCCGCGTTACTTCTGGCTGAGTAAGTGCAGGAAACCCGCGTTACTTATGGCAGAGTAAGTGCAGGAAACCCCCGTTACTTCTGGCTGAGTAAGACCAGTGAACCCGCCTTACTTCTAGCTGAGTAAGTGCAAGAAACCCCCGTTTCTTCTGGCTGAGTTAGACCAGCGAACCCCGTTACTTCTGTCTGAGTAAGTGCAGGAACCCCCCGTTTCTTCTTGCTGAGTTAGACCAGCGAACCCCGTTACTTCAGTCTTAGTAAGTGCAGGAAACCCGCGTTACTTTTGCCTGAGTAAGGCCAGTGAACCCGCCTTACTTCTGGCTGAGTAAGGCCTGCGAACCCCGTTACTTCTGGCTGAGTAAGTGCAGGAAACCCGCGTTACTTCTGGCTGAGTAAGGCCAGTGAACCGCGTTACTTCTGGCTGAGTAAGGCCAGTGAACCCGCGTTACTTCTGCCTGAGGAAGGCCAGTGAGTTACTTGTGCTGAGGAAACCCGCGTTACTTCTGGCTGAGTAAGACCAGTGAACCCCCGTTACTTCTGGCTGAGTAAGGCCAGTGAACCCGCGTTACTTCTGGCTGAGTGAGAACCCCGTTACTTCTGGCTGAGTAAGTGCAGTTAACTTCGCCAGCCCAGATTTCTTCGCCTAATGTCCATGCTGCTGAGTAAGGTGTCTTTGTGAACCCAAACGCTTTTATACTTTGTGTGCTGCTGGTGGCGCACGACATGCTTTCCCGTTTCGCGACCATTGTCAGAATCCTTCAATATCGTTTGAACCGCTTGTGTGTCTGACGTTTCTTATCGATGCTGTTGATTCTTTAGCGTTGAGGTTTTATGTTTAGTTCAACGTACAAAATATGACATAACATAGCGACCTCACTCTGCCTTTCGTTCACCGTTTCAACATAGTCTGTAAAGGCCCTTCTGATCCGGATTGTCTGGTCCATGTCTTGATTGCTTGGTTTGTTTACATGTCGACGTCGCTGTTCGACATTAGGCAACTAACTAACATTTATGATATTGTTTAAATTGCATGAGTATGTTAGTGATACTGGTAGGGCAGAGCATATATACCCTTTAGTCGAGCACCCGATACTGGTAGGGCAGAGCATATATACCCTTTAGTCGAGCACCCGATACTGGTAGGGCAGGGCATATCTACCCTTTAGTCGAGCACCCGATACTGGTAGGGCAGAGCATATCTACCCTTTAGTTGAGAACCCGATACTGGCGGGGCAGAGCATATCTACCCTTTAGTCGAGCACCCGATACTGGCAGGACAGAGCATATCTACCCTTTAGTCGAGCACACGATGTCATGAAGTGCGATTCTGTGATCCATTCATAGAATGTTCATTACCATTTTGCTTCCCTTATCTTGGATAATCGGTACTGGGATTCACTTGCGTTATATCTTCATTTACAATTCATATGGAGTACAGACAATATAGCACATTTTGTTCGATTGAATAAATATATATTCGGTTTAACAAACTGCTTCCAAGGCATGGCTTGAAACATGTAGGATGTCATGCTCTCCCAGAAACGATTGACAGCGTCTCTTTCTAAAATTATGTTTTTTTTTACAAAACTCAGGTATATGGATGTTTGTTTTGTCAATTGGTCCTAGAGCTGGTTTCCTTTTCACAGTCCCTGACAACACAGCAAATGACGGCGTTTACAGCAACTACCTGCTCGGCTTCAAGTCCAACTCCCGTTACTCTGTGGAGGTGAGGGTGGAGTCGGTGGACGGACAGACTGTCATCATCAAAGCTGGAACCGCCCTGTCTGGCAGAACACTATCTGTGTATCAGAGTAAGAACTAAACTTCTGGTTAACAAGAGTACACATCAATGTAAGGATAAGATATATGGATGAACAACGTCTTCACTAACATTATAAGCGATGTTTTTGTGATGTAAAGATTGAGGGGCACATCTGCAAGAGGGGCACATATACAAAAGGGACACCTATACAAGAGGGGCACATGTACAGAGAGACATTTAAAGGAGGGACACATGTACAAGAGGGGCACATGTACAGGAGAGACACATTTACAAGAGGGACACATGTACCAGAGGGGCACATATACAAAATGGACACATATAAAAGAGGGGCACATGCTCAAGAGGGACACATGTACAGGAGAGACACATTTACAAGAGTGGGCACATGTGCAAGAGGGTCACATGTGTAACACCGTTATCAAACGTGATATAAAGATTGAGGATCATATCTGCAAGAGGGTGGGGACGGATGGGCACATATACAAAAGAGGGGCTCATGTGTAACACCGTTATCAAACATGTGATGTAAAGATTGAGGATCATATCTGCAAGAGGGGCACATATACAAAAGGGACACACATGCAAGAGGGGCACATGTACAGGAGAGACACATGTACAACAGGGACACATGTACAAAAGGGACACATTTAAAAGAGGGCACATGCTCAAGAGGGACACATTTACAGGACACATTTACAAGAGGGCCACATGTACAGGGGAGACACATGTACAAGAGTGGGCACATATACAAGAGGGCACAACACCGCACATGCATATCTGCAAGAGGGGTTATCAAACATGTGATGTAAAGATTGAGGATCATATCTGCAAGAGGGGCACATATACAAAAGGGACACACATGCAAGAGGGGCACATGTACAGGAGAGACACATGTACAACAGGGACACATGTACAAAAGGGACACATTTAAAAGAGGGCACATGCTCAAGAGGGACACATTTACAGGACACATTTACAAGAGGGCCACATGTACAGGGGAGACACATGTACAAGAGTGGGCACATATACAAGAGGGGCACATATACAAGAGGGCGCATGTACATATAAAGTTATCAAACATGTGATGTAAAGATTGAGGATCATATCTGCAAGAGGGGCACATATACAAAAGGGACACACATGCAAGAGGGGCACATGTACAGGAGAGACACATGTACAACAGGGACACATGTACAAAAGGGACACATTTAAAAGAGGGCACATGCTCAAGAGGGACACATTTACAGGACACATTTACAAGAGGGCCACATGTACAGGGGAGACACATATACAAGAGGGGCACATATACAAGAGGGCGCATGTACAAAAGGGGCATATATACAAGAGGGGCACATTACATGTACAGGGTGGGCACATGTACAAGTGGGACACATGTTCTAAGGGCATGTGTACAAGAGGGGCACATATACAAGAGGGGCACATATACAAAAGGGGTATATATACAAGAGGTGCACATGAACACGTTTAGTTGATTGAATAGGGCGTGGCTTTAATAGAGTGGTACAAAATAGATGAAGTCTGCAGAGAAGCCAAAGGATAAATGAAAGGATGGTGATTGGAATCATTGACGGGGCCTTGGTCACAGTTATTTGGTGTTTGGGACCATGGCTTCAAAACTTGATATCCAGTGACCATATCTGTGACAAACCCCAACATGGCATCCAATGGGACAAAATCAGAGCCCTCACTACCAACATCAAAGACCCTCAAGATCAGAAAAATCCAAGACTCAAAGTAGCGATATGAGTTTATACAATAGAGAAACCCCGTGTGGAAATAAATGTTGTGACGAAGGGTTCGCTTTCAAATACAGTTCAGCGTGGTTAAATCTACCGATAACCTGCATCCCTTGAGGAGATTGACGATTTGAATGTATCATGTACTCAACACGAACATGACCAGTTTTGTAAAAGCAACACATTGGCGAACACCATCAGTCTAGACATCTGAGACCGCCTCCGTGGTGTAGTTGATAGAGCAGGGGATGATAAGGGGTTCGATTCCCTGGCTGCGTCGCATCTAAGATTAAAAGGTGGTACTTTCTGTATGATTATCCTAGCTGATGTTCGGCATTAACGTGAACCCAGTGTCACATAATATCACCTTACCATAACATTTTAACTTTCCCTTGGCATATGAACTGATCACCAGTACCTGAGTATACCAACGTTTATTTTCCAGATAACTCAGCTCCAGTGATCTACCAGCCGGTGGACGCGTTCAGCAGGACAACATCCCCTGGAGCAATAGATATCCAAGGTTATGACCCCTTAGTGGATCAACTAGATCCGGGTCGGGTCACTGACCTTGACATCGGCATAGTGAACAGAGACAGCAGAACAATAGCTATCACTTGGACAGCCACTGGGGATGATCTCAATGTCGGCACAGGTAAGTGATGGGTCGGTGATGATGTAGCGCGATCTGTATGTTGACTGTAGTAGATGGGATAGGGACAGGCAAGAAATGATCTTAATACCGGCTTTGGTAGGTGCCGAAGGAGATGGGGTATGATGTCATGTCTAGCTTTAGTAATTGAAGGATAGAAGGATGGAGGATGATCATAAGCTGGCTTCAGTAAGCACTAGATGGATGGGGGATAATCGTAATACTAGCATGGTAAGGATGGAGGATGATCATTAGCTGGCTTCAGTAAGCACGAGATGGATGGGGGATAATCGTAATACTAGCATGGTAAGGATGGAGGATGATCATAAGCTGGCTTCAGTAAGCACTAGATGGATGGGGGATAATCGTAATACTAGCATGGTAAGGATGGAGGATGATCATTAGCTGGCTTCAGGAGGATGATCATAAGCTAGCTGATCAGGACGGAGGATGATCATTAGCTGGCTTCAGTAAGCACTAGATGGATGGGGGATAATCGTAATACTAGCATGGTAAGGATGGAGGATGATCATAAGCTGGCTTCAGTAAGCACGAGATGGATGGGGGATAATCGTAATACTAGCATGGTAAGGACGGAGGATGATCATAAGCTGGCTTCAGTAAGAACGAGATGGATGGGGGATAGTCTTAATACTAGCATGGTAAGTGCTTGAAGGATGGAGGATGATTATGAAACTGGCTTTGATAAGCACTAGAGAGATCGGGAATGATCTTGATAGTGGTATAGATAAGTGCTGGATGGATGGAGGATGATCATAAGCTGGATTTAGTAAGCACGAGAGGAATAATCTTAATACTTACATAGGTACGTGGGTGCCACTGGACGTATTTTAGTAGGAACATAAATGACATGTAGGTGGGGCTTTATTAATACAGACATAGGTAAATTTCTGGTGGGACGTTCCTACGGTTGACAGTTTTGAGTCTGGTGCAAGGGACATCATAGAACGCTAATAACCAAAAGTGGTTTGCCGCTACTATTTACTCTATATTAGCTCATCCCATTGTTGAGTTATTGATAAACCCGTGAAGATACAGGTTAGAAATGATCTTCAGGAACCCATGCTTGTAAGAAGCGACTAACAATATCGGGTGGTCATGCTCGGTGACTTAATTGACACATGTCATCGTATCCCAATTGCGTCGATCGATGATAATGTTGTTGATCACTGGATTGTCTGGTCCAGACTCGATTATTTACAGACCGTCGCCATATAGCTGGAATATTGCCGAGTGCGGCGTAAAACTAAACTCACTCACTCACTAGTTATTGATAAGGATATTGCAATTTGCTAATAACACTAAGTTAATAGTTTGTGCCATAGATGAGGTGTGTAAATTGTACGCCATGCGCTGTTTGTGTCTGTCATAGTGGGTGAATGCAAAAGCTGGTAGTCGAATATACTGTTTCGATTCCACATAATAACTAAGTTGCTTGAGACGGCATTAATCACAAACGGCGTCGCAAGGTCAAGATACTTCTACTTCGATAGGAACACTCAAATTCTTTCAGTCACATTATTTTGTCTAAGTCAGCTGATTTTTAAATCTAAAAAAATCGGTATTAAAAAAAGTTATATTTATGTATTTGGTGCTATGTTTTGTATTTCAGTTGCAAAATATGACGTCAGAGTAGCAAGTTCTTTTGATGAACTTCGTAAGAATTTCATAGCCGCCTACGAACTATCGAGCAGCAACGTTTTGAGTGGCAGCCTCACCGCACTTCCGGCAGGCTCGCAACAAACGGTACAAGTCGCGTTGCCTAGCAGCCAGACAAATAATTTCCACGTCATTGGTCTGAGAGCAGTGGATGACGCAAACAGAACTTCATCGATATCAAATCTGAGATCTGTAACATTTCAAGCAATCACAATTCCACAGCGAACTACGACAACGACGACAACAACAACAACCACCACGACACAAAGGACAGAGAATACTGAAAAGACTACGAGGCGACCTAGTATCACCTTTACACCATCAAATAACAACTCATTGCTTTTTGGGATTGCATTTGGAGTTGGGGCTGCAATTATCATCCTTCTCATTATGATCATGTTTATTGTATGTGTAATGCCCATGCGTGATAATGTTTCTCGTAAGTCTGAGCCTGTTTCCAATGTTACTAGTGTAGCACAAATGGTCCGCTTATCTAAGGCGCCACGATTTGCTAGGCAGAACTATTATCTCCCTTAGCCGTGCAGGATCCCGTTTTGATTTGTGAGAAAGAAAGCATCGTATGATCGCCACTACTATAGATACTTGTGGGTTAAGTGTAACAAAACCTATCCCACATTCTTTCCAAACTGAGCTGACAGTCCCTGATGGAAATGAAATATTGTTCAAAGAGCGTTTTATCCACTCACTACTTATGTACTCCTGAAGGTTCTGTTTGATTGCTGCTCGTAGCATTGCTGGCATACCATGATGTAAAGCTGGCACGACAACTAGAAAGACACGATATTACACAAAATGTAATCAAGAAATATCGATTATACTGACTAAATAATTAATCCATGCACCCGCATTCTATAACCATGCAAATATTGCTCACTAAAACAACTGGTGCTAAGTACATGTACATATATGATTGAGTAGAGAGTGTTGGCGTGATTCTCTAGCAAGCTGCTGCTGCGCTCCTTAGTAGGGATTTAAAACCCAAATTTTGTCTTATTTCCATCGCTGTCTGTGGTTTGTCTGAACCATAGCGTGTTGAACACGGCCACTATCAAAGTATACAGCTTTTATCACCACTGGAAGTTTCCGCTTCAAGAGTTTTGATGAGGTTTTCAAGACAAACGATGAAGGTGACAGACTGTCATGATCTTGAAACACAAGAATATAACCAACATGTGATAGTGGCAGAGCACAACGTAGGCAATGGTATACTTCATTATTTCGTCTGTCAAATGTTCTTTGTTTTCATGTGTGTCCGTTTTCTGGAGAGAGATAAATCATCTTTCTGAATGAGAAATAATTATGCTGGAACAACTCACCTGCTCACTCATGTCATCATTATCAGTCAGGAAAGGGAAACAGAAAGCGTGTATGTATTTCACATAAGCAAGGTCTACACTTAACACGGCAACAATGTATGAAGATGAGATAGAAATAAGTAAGGTACTTCTCCGGTGGCCATTGACTTGCGAATACCGAAAACGTCATTTGCAAGGTGTTTTATTCATTCATTCCCATAGTTGCATAGATACAAACATATTATTGTAACAGAACGCCGCTTTTAGGAACACTCCAGCAATCTCATGGACACCAGAGACAGGTCCACACATAGTACCCTTGTGGGGAACACAACCCGGGTCAACCACCCAACCACTAGGCTACTCTGTCGCCTCAGTAACAGAAGCAATATACAAGTAAATTACGTTAAAACATTAACGCTTTTATAGGGTGGTTGAACATAGTCAATTATTGAGATATGGGATGAAAGGAAACCATTTCTTCAAACTTTTCCACGCCATTGTTTCGTTTGGAAATATTTTTTTCTGTAAGAAAGATGACGGTTTTCAGATAGTTAATTAAATTGCGAATTGCTTTTTTTGATATTACATATATAAATATGTATCTTTGCAGAGAAAATTATATAGTTTAGTATTTTGTTGGCATGTGAAGTAGCAAACCAAACCAGATATTTTGTTGTTCTGATTTCTTTGTTGAGGTATTTACTGATCCAGATCTCAAGCTCATTCCAAAATGTCTTGGTTTCCTTACAATTCCAGTATACATGACAGATTGTTTCCTGTAGGTCATTACAAAAACTGCATGTGTCAGAATCTATTAGTTATATTTTCAAAAGCTCCTTTTCGGAATATTTTATTCCATGTAAGAATTTAAACTGAAAATCAAGAAGTTTAACATCTTTTAAACCATATCTATAAATAAATATAAAGTCACAATCAAAAAGTTTTTCCCATTTCGAAAATATCTTAAGTTTACTGTCATCTGATATAAGTCTATCATAAAAAAGTGTTGGTCCTTTTCAGACTGTAATGAGGCTTTTGTTACAAATAGTAATGGCCATATTGTTGATAGGTATCATCCTGTTATTTCTAACAGTTAGTTTCCAGGATATAGGTAAGATGTGTATAACAATTGTAACCCAACATTGTTCCTCTTATATCATACATATGTTACAAAAGGCATTAGTCCAGATTTATCACATATATTTTTAATAGTTAAGATTCCTTTATCAGCCCAATGTTTTATGAAGTGATGAGTATCTTTTAATCTGTGATTTAACCACAAGGCTGTGCGAGAATATCATCAATATTACCTGCATCAACATCAGTCTTTTACAATATTTAGTCCAAGCCTATAGAACATCAATCCAATAAGGGTTTTGGATATCAAAAACTTTTGAAGCATTAGCCCCAAACTTGAATATATCATTGAAGGATATACTACATGGATTAGTTGTAGTGATTTTTCTACAAAGCAATCTCAAATTGGAGATTTTTAAAGCTTCAATAAAAGTTTGTATATCAATCATCCGTAGCCCACCCACTTTTTTAATCTTTTCATAGTTTCTCTTTTAAGTTTATCGCTTTTGCCATTCAAAATAAATTTGAAGAATATTCTTTCAAGTGAAGTAATAAAAGTGTTGGGTGGATTGGGTAATGTGTTAAAAATATGTACTAATTTTGTAACTGCTAATGTTTTGATAACTGTAATGTTCTCCAGACTGCCAATAGTCTATTACTTTCTTCATGCTTTTTTCTAGTAGTACTCACCCATAGGTCATATGGCGTTGAAGTAAATGTGATACCTAATACCTCAAATTCGTGTCTGTGCCATTTTGTTTTTATATCATTGCATAATCTTTCATCACTACCTTCTTTTGATCCTATCCCGATTGCTTTAGTTTTATCAAGTTTTATCTTAAGACACGACATCTTGTAAAAGGTATTCAATGTATTGATAGCAGCATACAGACTATCTTCTGAGCCATCGAGAAATAATTCTGTGTCATCAGCATATTGTCCAAGATTGTATTCTTTATCATCTATAGTAATTCCTTTTATGTCCTCATTTCCTCTTTTCATGAAACCTACAATTTCAGCTACAAAGAGACATAGGTAAGGGGATATGAGGTCCTCTTGTCTGCACCCTCTTTCATTTGAAAACAAATCTGATAAATGGCCATTTTTAACTATACAGGATGTTGTGTCTAAAGTTAAGAGATCTATCCAGCTCCTTGGTTCCTTTTTCCAATACTAAATCAATAAACCTTTATGAGACAGTATCAAAAGCCTTCTCGAAATCAATCAAAATCAGTAAACCTGGAATATTTCATTTTTGGTTTCAAACATGATATCATATAGTAGTCTTGTGTTTTCACTAATGGTTGTCCCTAGAATGAATCCAGTTTGATAACCATGAAAAAGTGAGTCTAATGTTTTCTTTAATCGGTTTGTAAAACAATTGCTGATTATCTTATAAAGGGCATTTAAAAGAGTTATTGGCCTCCATTTCTTTTAGAAAAGATCTATCTTTATTTGGTTTAGGGATATAACTCACCTTTTCATAGTAAAAGACCGTTTCCTTTCAGTTGAGACTTCTTTAATAAATATAAAAATCTAAACGTTTAATTCTTTTCACAAAAAAATGAAAAAAATCTATTGGAAAACCATCAATTCTTGGACTTTTGTTATTTTTCATATTTCTGACTGCAGACGTTATTTCATCTAAATCAATATCTTTTTCAAGTGTGTTTCTCATATCATCATTTAGAGTGGGAGTTATAACATTCTGTACACCTATTTCTTCATTCAAGTCTTTATTTGCTGTAAATAATTTCTTATAAAACCATTTGACTTCATTCAGAATTGAAAAGCTATCAGTAATTTCCTTATCATTATCTGTTTTAATTTTATTAACTGATTTGCTGCCAAATGTCTGTTTTCTAGGTTACAAAAATAATCAGTTGGTTTTTCACCTTCTTCATATCATAATATTCTGTTCCGGATTTGTATTCCTCTTATTTCTTCTTCCTTTAGTTTTTGTACTTCTATTTCATGTTTTGAGAGTTCAGAAAGCAAAGTTTCATCAATATTTTGAAATCTTTCCTTATTGTGTCTTCACCACCCTTAATTTTAGTTTCTAGTTCTGTCTTCTTTTTGTTATTTTATTTTTTAAGGAATGATGAAACAGATATTGATATTCCCCTGACCTACATTATAAAGGTCTCTAAAAATAAGCTGTCATCAATTTTAAGTTTGATTCCACTGTTATCAGAGTCATTATAGTTATCAGTTATTTCAGTTTCTGAGTATTCTTCTATTGTTTCCCTTAAAATGGAGTTAACCAATTTTCCGTAATCAGGATGAAGTAATGAAGTGTTGAATTTCCAGTACGCACGCCCTCTTTCCTGACTAATAGTGTTTGAGAAGGTGATGAGTTTTATAAGCTGGTAGGATATCAGAATCCAGACTTACATGATACATGTCTTGTGAAAGTAAAATAAAATCTGGGCTTGCTTGTTGTCTGTGATTTTTTCCCCAGCAAGTGTACTTCCGAGAGGAATTATTTAGGTCCCACCAAACATCTATAAGGTCATGTTGTACAATTTTCTCTAAGACAGTTTTTCTGGATTTTGGCTTATTAACATGTTTATAATTGTCTAAATCTACTGATGGATCAAGGACCAAGTCCAGCCCCCAACAATGACTAAGGAGTCATTTTGAATGAGAATATGTCTTCAAATAGTTTTATAAAGAAGTTTGGGTCACCATTGTTAGGTCCATATAATAAAAGTTAATGTAAATCTTTTACCATCAACAGTTATGTCTGCCATTATAAAGTTACCGTTTTCACCTTCAAAGGATCTGTGAATAGTGAGGTCTACATCTTTATTAATTAGTATTGCCACTCCTCTGGCATAAGACGTGAAAGGTGCAATAATGCTTTAGTAGGCCCCATTCATTTCTCATGACATTAATAACATCTTTAGCTACATGGATATCTTGTAAGCAGATAATTGAATAGATGTAATTCTGTTTTCTATATATATCCATGACTTCCTTCCTCGTATTTCTATCTGCTACAGTTGGCAGAAATAAGTTTTATCTTCTTTATATTATTTATAGCCATCTAATTGTAGCATCAAAAGTTTTATGAAGGGATAGGTCAGAATAGTTACCGGTTAAGGCTCAGTATTTCACTAATATATTGAAATGGGAGTGTTTATAATGTAGTACAGTGTCAACTAATGGGAAGAGACTATTGTTTTGATAACAAAAATAAAAGAGAAAGGAAGGAAAAAGAAAACGCAAAAACAAAGAAAAGGGTGACATTGCCCGTTTTTTTTTCCAAACCCTGTCCTCATTCTGATTGATGTTCTAACAGGTTGGTTTCCATGAATCGAGTGGTCAGTACCGGGAGTAAGTCTTAAAAAAATACAAGCCATTTGGGTACATCTGCAATACATGTTTGCCAAATCTTTATGACTAACTCCGTATCATTATCATCATCTAAACTATTAAATAAAAAAAGCAAGAGTAAACTATGTTCGTGTTTCTTTGGAATAGTTTTGTGAAGGATTAAATGGGGTATACTAGTTCTGCATGGCTTATTTAGCACAAATATATTACTTTTATTCTCTGGTTCATTTACCAGACCTACAAACTGTATCTTTCAAATGTTACCATGGAAACTACACACTTTAGTATGTGTAGGAAAATGGGGTTTTGTTGGGAATAAGAGTTACTTTCTTTTCACATTATTGGGGTTGTAATATATATATTTAGTGGGAAGTTTTACGTAGCAGTTTCCGGGATTTCTTCAGAGGTTGCTTGTAGTTAATAAAATTCCGCTTTTTACCTTCGTTTGGCTGTAAAATTCCGTTGGAATTATTCCTTTCCCGGACAGTTTACAGTCACGGCATGCGCTGCCATGCCGTGCACAGATTGCCGTGGCCCGATGTGTTTTCTGTTTGCATTCCGAGTGCGGTATGGTAGAGCTGTCGTGATTGGTCGGCTGACTCCATTGCAGGCCAAAGGGAGTTAGGCTACTTCTCCCGGGTCAAAGGTTAGCGCGCGGGGTATTTAAGGGCCTGTAACGCTCAGAGAAGTCGCTTGCTTCAGGACATCCTGACCGAACAGTAAGTCGGGAGGTCTTCCTCCTTTCCCTAGGTTTTGTATAGGATTATTTTGCATGTAGAGTAGGAGAATATTTAGTGGGTTGGGGGAAACGATAGGATTAGAGTAGGCTTTGTATGTAGGAATTAATTAGTGAGGACTTTCTTTTTCTTTGGGTTTCATAGACTGATAGTTGTGAGGATGTGTGATGCTGGCTTCTGTTTATTTTGTTGAGTTTGGCTTAGTTTGTTTTTATTCATTAATAAACTGTATTTATTTGGTGAAATCTGAACTTTGTTCTTATTTTGTGAAGAATCTTTAACAATGACTTGAACTACCATAGAACCTGAAATAAGGTCCATGAAAGGTTCCGTTCTCCAGGCACAAGATTAACATCTAATTAAAAATACACAACGCAAAGTCCACAACGGAGAGCGTTAAATAACAACATCGAACCTTGATATATGAACCTTACTGTCACTGGGTGACCTCCCTCAGCGGAGGCGCCTATTACAGATTTGGTGCCGAGACCAGGATTGTTTTGTCATTTTC